AATAAAACAAATCCCTCTATTTGTTCTGAGGTAAAAATCCAAAAAAGTGGTACAAATTTTGACTTTTTTGCGCGCAATTTATTTTTGGTACTTATATGCTATATTTTGAAAATTTTTAAACTTATATCTTGTAATAACAATTAATTAAAGTATATTTAATATAATTTTGACCAAAAAATTCATGTTTAATGGAACCAAAATTTTAGGTGCGCCGCGCATATTTTCGAATATTTACACCGTGGTATGAAAATCGAGCGCTAAAGCAAATACTGTCATATTGTCACAAGAATACCTAGGTTGTTTTTCAGTATTATTGTCGCATTTCGAAACTCCTTTTCACCCTATTTGGTTATCTTTTTGATGTGTAATTTGATTACTAACTATGTTTTCATGTATTCTCTTTGATGTGGAGTACCCATTCATACTATTTCCTATCGTTTTTATCATATGCTTTTTCCTCTAGAGTCGGCTCTATTTGTGACATACCTCTTATCTTCTACAGAGTTTATCGTGGTTTGTTGATACTGAATTGGTTTAATTGATACTATACGATTACTTTGTTAGAAATGTATAGTAAGATGTGACGGAATAAGAGAAACTAAAATATTTAAATGGGTTGTGGCCATTTCAAAATATTCGATGAGGTTATATTTTTTAAATTGAAGGTCTTTCACCAAATATGACTTGAATAGTTTTTCGACAAAGTTTTTAGAAGAGCTTTAATGATTTCAAAGAATTAGCAAATTGATTGTACATCTTAGAAGCTACTACAGAGAGGCTACCTACACCAAACATAAATCCGAACATATCTTGCAGATAAGTTGGAGCCAATCCTAGTATGGATTTGTGAGATTTTGTAGTGAGATTTTGAATTCAATCCTCTTCTCTATATCCATTATCCAACCAGTAAAGATTGATCAGTTCATCCTCAAGATGGTAATGTTTATATTGCCTATCAACAGCTTTGGCTACGGCATTTTGTAGTAACTGGACCTGATAGGATACAAGGATACAAGGATACAAGGATACATTTATTGAGTTCCAAAAGTGGTAATCCTGAAATAAACATTGACATCATTGGCAAGTAATGGCCTCAAAAATTATGGTCCCTTCAAGATCGAAATCAATAATAATGTTTAAATTTAGATAAGTAGGAATAATCATTTTAGCCAGTCTCGCCTCTAGTTATACTCTCTACAAGCTGACTATCTTATTGTTCCTAATACTATGAAACTTGTCAGGCTCTGTAGTTCGTTTCAGTCTCAGTTCTTCTACAAGCTTTTTATAAGCTTTTCGTTCTGTGGCAGTCCTATCAGGGCAGATGTAAACTGAGCTGTTCCCCTCCTTTGAGCGTAGTGTACTGGTGTTTCTGATCACTGGTGTTGCATGGTCAGAACTGCTCAATGCGAACTTTACTGGTCTGGATACATTTTCTTTCGGAGCTCCAATACAGCAGCAGTCCCTGACTAAAGGCTTCTCACTAATTTCATTCAGAACCTCCTCAACATTACTCAGCAGTTGCTCGTTCTCTGATTCTGATAGACCATAAATGATTACGTTCTTGCTTCACTCAATCTGGTTTTCTAATTTTTTAACTGCAGCGTGGATCTTCTTCGGGGCGAAAGCAGCATTGATGCTTTTTCTAACGACTGAAGAGTAGCTTTTCATCTCCGTTTGCACGGTATTCTGCATTGATTTGAGCTGTTTGTTGCTTTTTTAAATAGCCTTATTCTGAAGATCGATGATAATACTCTGATCTGAAATCTTCTCACTTTTCAACTTGTCAATTTCTTCTGCAAGAGGTATTGCCTTCCTTAGCCAGGTGATACTGAACTGGTCCAATATACAACAAACAGTTTCCAAGCATTCGCATGGTTTCTCTTTCGTTACTGATCTCTTGTTCATCAAATTGCAAGATTGAATTTCCTCGTACATTTTCTTGTTGATTTCACTACAAATCTCATCTAAAACACTCCCTGGCTTTTAATAGTAGGCACAAACATTACTAATTGAGTTTGTAGCGTATATTAAGACGCAATGAAACTACCGGACCACGATGTATGGGGACTTGCCACCCCATGGCAACATTAAAATATATCGACTCTGTTACATCGTTTCCTGTTAATATAAAACTCCGTTACAAAATGAACTGGGATCTGGCAATACTACACCTTAGTTCGATAAAATATGATAAAGTAATGTATAACTAGACTTAAGTAAAAGTCTGAAAGAATATAGAAAACAAAATATATACTGCTAGAAAGCTAAATAATAAACTGCCAAAGAATCGTTAACGTGATATAAAACTGTTCCAAAACGATCAAAGGGGGAAGTGAATAGATCACGGACGAGGTAACATGCATAAGGAATTACAAGGTTTGGCCTCACACACAATATAATTACATGAAGTCATTTACTGTGAAATTGTGCCAGTGTTTAAAGATGCACGCTGGTTGACTGTTAATAAATAATTTAAGATGTCTATGTAAGATTTTCCGTTCAAAATTCTGGGTGATCAGTTTATCGATTATGACGCTTTGCCCTTGTCAGAGGGTCTATCATTATGAGTTTAGATTGAAATTGGCTAATCTCCTCTGAATTGAATACAAATAACACACGTTATTGCCGACGTTTCGCCCCCATGGCTTCTTCAAGGCGGAACAAAAACTTTGTTACATAGTGACCTGGTAAATATCCAAATTAATACATAAAACTCTGAGAAACATTAAAAATAAATGGGAAGATTCTAAGCGGTAGAAAATTTTAAAGCAAAAGATAGATGTTAGGCCAAAGAATCTAGAACTGTCCAATATTTGAGAGCTAGACCAACGTACACAGAACAGCAACGAAAATAGCTTCCTACTCCCTAACATTTTCGGGGAAACTGAAAGGGTGCCACGTACATATATTTTGATGACATTTACATAATAGCCCATGTGGTCTTTTGCCACGAGTCTGCTTCAGGTGAGAGCTGAGTGTTTATTTTAGGAAGTAACTGCTTGATATACAGTGATTGCCAGATCATTCGGTCTGCATTACTAATGTTTTATGAGCGATTTCCACACCATCTCATTGAGCAATACTATATTAGACCGAAAGACTTTAATTTGAGTTTTAGAATTATTTATATTAGTTTTAGAATCATGTACATTAGCTGCAGATAGTATTTAAACGGGTGGGCAACAATTGACCCCCCGTAAATTGACCCCCCGACAATTTTCCCCCGACAATTGACCCCCCAACAATTATCCCCCCGACAATTGACCCCCGACAATTAGCCCCCCGACAATATAATTTAATACAATTAATCCTAACCCTAACCCTTATCCTAACCCTAACCCTAACCCTAACCCTAACCCTAACCCTAACCCTAACCCTAACCCTAACCCTAACCCTAACCCTAACCCTAACCCTAACCCTAACCCTAACCCTAACCCTTTACTGACCCTGACCCTGACCCTGACCCTGACCCTGACCCTGACCCTGACCCTGACCCTGACCCTGACCCTGACCATGACCCTGACCCTGACCCTGACCCTGACCCTGACCCTGACCCTGACCCTGACCCTGACCCTGACCCTGACCCTGACCCTGACCCTGACCCTGACCCTGACCCTGACCCTGACCCTGAGGCCTGACCCTGAGGCCTGACCCTGACCCTGACCCTGACCCTGACCCTGACCCTGACCCTGACCCTGACCCTGACCCTGACCCTGACCCTGACCCTGACCCTGACCCTGACCCTGACCCTGACCCTGACCCTGACCATGACCCGATCAATTGATCCCTGTGTAATTACATGGGGGGTCAATTGTCAGGGGGTCACTTGTCGGGGGGTCAATTTTCGGGCGGTCAATTGTTGGGGGGTCAATTGTCGGGCGGTCAATTGTCGTACTAAGCCCTAGATTTCGTGACAATTGACCCCAGTGTAATTACATAGGGGGTCAATTGTCGGGGGTCAATTGTCGTACTAAACCCTAGATTTCGAGACAATTGACCCCAGTTTAACTACCTAGGGGGTCAATTGTCGGGAAGTCAATTGTCAGGGGGTCAATTGTCGCGGTACCTATTTAAACATCCAGTTCTTTGTCCTCAAGAAACAATTTCTCGGTCGGTTGACGAAGGTTTTGACTTAATCTGAAGAACAGAAATATGTTCATATTTTCATCAGCTGCTATGAAGATATCATGAACACTATCTTAATAACAAGTGAAATATGATCTCTTTTGTAAGCATATTGTCCAGGACAATTGAGGTCATCATTACATGCTCATTGCTCCTGTAGCCTTCTCTTTTAATTAGTTTTCCCAAGGTTTGACACTGGTCTGTAGTTTTTCAAGACATCTGGAAAATGATCTTCATCGATTGGGGATAACTGGTGTGATGTAAAAAAATAATTGTGGCTTATGATACCAGGGAAATGTAGGTATCAGCTAAACCCTCGATTTTATGTTTAAATACATTGTATTTATCATAAATATCATATCATATATATATACAGTTACACTGTGTAGTGTTATCCTTTATTAAATAATTGTGGACACTGGCTGATAATCAGTGAAGGCAGAATCGTGGATTATACCTGATAACTACTGGTGGTGTTATGGCTATTAGAGGGTTGTTAGAGGACTGGGCTATTACCGTAACAGCTGGCTACTAGCCTGGTGTTAGAGGGTTGTTAAGATTTTTGGGAGCACAGATACTTAATAGTAATATATCTTGTTTGGATGTTTGAACTTTTCGATTTGTATCTCGAAAGTTATGTTTAACTTCCCCACGCAGTGTTTTAAATGTATGATATTGTAAGATTTATAATGTCATTATTTTATAGCTCCTCAAAGGATATTGTTCTTATCCACGTAGGAATCAAGTGCTCATTTTGATTGAGGTGGCAATTTGAAGTTGCAGCCCAAGATTTTATTGATTTTAATGTGGTCTATTCTTGATAAAAATATATTGCGCTACTCTTCGTTTAAACTACTTTAGCTTTAAACTGTTTAGGAGATGATTTGAAGCGGTGCTACAATCTACAGTGGTCGGTGGACAAGTGTGATGGACACCAGAGCCAGATGCTTTAGTTCACACTATGACTGTGACTGATGTACCTCTGCAACAAACTGACTGTCTTACTTGTAACCTGGTTAGTTAATATTAGTTATTCTTAATTGTGTACCTTCAAGCTTTCCTCCACAATTACAACCAACTTAGAAGCAATGATTTATTGTCAGTATTTTTTATTATTGAACAGACTGAGCCTTGTGCTCCTATTACCTTAATGCCAATAAATTTGGTTGACAATAAATTTGGTTACCATAATTTTGAAAATTTTTAGTCTACAACAATTTTAGTCACATTTTTCGACTTTTTGAAACCATTTTCCATTCCATTTATTTGATTTTTCCATTATTCACAATTAAGAATGATTTCACAAACGTCGTAAGCATTACTTTAAAGTACTGCAGGGGATCTTCGATATTATGCAGGTTTGGTGGGATTAAATTCTAAAATCAAGGTCTTATAACTCGATAACACGTTGCCATGGCCCCATAGCAACCACAATCAGTGCCCTAGCAACCGAGGCAAATTTGGGTGATTTACCTAATTAATCCTTGGTACTGTTTCACAATTTTAATCATCGTCAATTCACTAGCTCACTGTTTATGCAGGTCTTTCCAAAGTAAATTCCAAGGAAAAAGTTATGGTTTGGTGTGCCATCAGCCATATAGGACCATGGAATAAATTGCCCATATTTCTTCGAGAAAAATATAACTCAAAATTAGCCATTAAACCTTAGAACTACCAATAACTTTTCACAAAATCAAGTTTAGACAAGTCATTTGTCTAAACTGCAGTTTACTTTTGTAGTAGCTGATCCTAGTCGGCAATCCTAGTGGATAAAGAGTTATTCAAAAGTATATCCTTGCAATATTTTTGAACACCCTGTAGTCTGTACGCTCCGAAATCTGATTTAATACTTCAACTCTGATATCATCCAGTGCAATGCGATATGCTAATATTTGATTGTAGGAGACTCTCACTTCGTCCCCAAAAATGAAATATGATGGACCCACTCACAAGAGCGAAAAAAGATACACATTACTGTAATGTTTATAAAACACTTTTATGTGCTCGTGCAATGTGTTTATTTTCAAAAACTGTAACATCGCTCAATCAAAGCCTTATCAGCACAACACGCACAATCACATAATATATCATCAACTTGATCTCAGCGCATCATAATAACAACCACTCGCAAGGACTGTTACCGCTCACTTCAGACACACACACCCACTACACAGTACCACACACAGCCTGCACAGAGCTCAGCAATCAATTCTAAACGGCTAGCTGATTTTGATAAAATAACATCGTGATCCGGCGTGATCAATTATTTTAATTGAAGTACAACGGCTGCACCCCTGACTTTTTAACTAAAGATAAGAGACGTATATATTAGGACATTTGTAATCTGATAAAATTTAAAGTTTTGGTGTGTGAATTAAAGCTTGGTGTGAGAATTAGTGTGGAAATAAAAGAGATATTTATTTTATTACCTATATCATATATCTTAATTAAGTGACAGTATTATTATTTTAACTACAGATTATATCATTTCAGTTAGTATCGACATGAATGTTACGATTGCAGTTTTATTTATTTTTATATTATATTGTATTCAATAAACCGGTTTCAAAGCCCTTTAGTGTGGCCCTCGGGTCTTTAAAACATAATAGGTGAGGTCATGTGGTACCGACATGCTTCAGAGGACAGAAAGAGACTCAGAATTTTAACCACAAGTCTAGATTCTTTTCATAAATATAGACTTGTGGTTACAATTCTGAGTGTTTCATACTATTATATCACAGAATTTTCCTGCTGTTGAAATATTGACAGAAAGGAAAGGTGTTTAGAAGTCGAATTGCTACAACTTCAGAATTCAGATTGCATAACAATTGTATAACTTCAGATTGGAGGACGGTCTAGGGAAGGATATAGGAATTAAGCTTACTTCACAGCTATACTCTGCAAAAGTACCTTCAGCGAATAAGACGTCAACATCCATCTTGTTTATATCAATGATTGTGGACATTACTTTTGTATTCTTTGTAATTTAATTCTCTGACGTTGTATTCTCTTAATACATTGCGTTTGCTAAAATTCTTGTGTGTAAGCTTTAGAACTCTAGATGTCAAACACAGATTTACGGCCAAGTGTCAACCCGGGGTTTGAAGCACGTTATACTAGTTTCAACTTTTATCAGACTGATCCATCGATTTCAGCTATGACATTTTTAGTTCTGATTAAACAAATGGTTTTTATTACATTGTTAATTACATTAAAATACAGTTTGATGTTTAAAACGGGGCATATGAAAGTTTTTTATCTTGTAAAACCTCGCCTAATCGACGAAGTTACAGTCAGATCGAAAATTAGAAATAGCTTATTTTTAAAAGCAGCTGAAAGTGCTATTTTCAGAACCTGGTGGATATTAGTCTAAAGATTCGTTGGAATTTATTACACTGACCATGACATAAGATCCAAATTCCAAACTGGGTGTTAGGGAAATGCGGCGGACTAAATGTTATTTTACATCTTCCCCGTCACTGATCACTGTCACATTTAAAGCTGCAAATGGTGTATTTGTTATGCCAACTAACACCAGAACAAACAGAGAACTTGTTAAAGTTCAAATTTAGCCCCGTAAAACTCAATGTATGTTATGTAACGGCTAATGTAATGTTCTTACAGGATCGTTGACATATTACGTAATCACGTCCTGAACAACATTTAATTTGACCCCCCCCCCCCCCCCCCTCTCGGTGATTCCGTATTATGTGAACGACCCCTAATATGCTTACATCGAGGTAGTGCTTACTGATTTATAGCAACATTTATCATAGCAGCTTGTTTTTAAATCACTGTTTCTTATGATACAAGTTCCGTTACCATTCGTATCACACATAGTAATAAATTACGTATAGTAGTATTACTCGTCGGGAAAAACCCTGGTTCTTTTTGTAGTAATTGTGCGGAACGCGCTTGCGCCGAATCAAAAATATGTGTGAAAGTTTTTCTTGCGCGCATTTACTGTGACATAATGTGTCACGTGATAATCTGAAACTTTGAATAGTCATAACACCAAGAGATAGGCAACAGAGGTAAATCTGGCTACGTAATATCGTCAAGTAGGTATCTAGGAGTTTTGTGAATATTTTGAAATCAAATTCGAGCGGGTATTTTGTGATTTAGCGAGGTGCGCGGAAAAAAGCAAATAACCGTCAGCACATGGCTATACAGCCTCCATAGTGGCATCTGAGATCGGCTATCGATGCGGCACTACTTACTAGTCCATAAAACAATCATCCCAGGAGCCTAGGGGCTCCAGCAGAAGAGTGCCTTATTTGCCCGTAAGAGCCTCTACTAAATTGCCAACGTCCAAATATTTGTAAAATACGACGAAGAGGGGTCACAACACTGCGCGCGGCAGTGAGATTTGCTAAATTATTTTTCATTTTTGGCACTATGTTTATGTGATTTTTATTATGTCTGTCAACTTCCTAAACAATAGGGGGGGGGGGGGGGGGGGGCTTATTTTAGATTAAAAATTTCGAATTTATCTTAAATGACCGCCGCGAAAAATTGTTTAGCATTTAAATTTATTTTAAGTTAATAAAGTAAGCTGCAGGCTCAAAAATCAAAAGTTTAGTTTAAATGATTTTAAAATGATTTCCGTTGTACTTGGGTTAAGTACAAATTTCAATTTGTTTGTTTAATTTTATTTCTAATACTCTGTACTCTGTGACAGTATTTGGTATTTTCAAATGACTTATGAATATAACTAAATTTAGATTTTGGATTTATCATTTATGAAATTTTTTTTCATTTGGCGCGCGGCTCACCAACTATAATATAATTTAAAATCACCTATGAATCGAGCGCTAACCTTCTCGCCACTCATTATACCTGCCACAAACCTGCTGTTTTTTTCAGGTGCATGTTATTGTTGTCTCTCTCATCCTCCTAATCGACCAGCGAGGTTTATTTTGTTAGTTCAGACTATTTTGTTAGTTCAGACTGGCCAGTAAATAGTAGTTATCATGAAAGTTTTGGTTTTCTTGTCTAGTTTTGCAATGTCGTCTGCCAAGAATTACCTTCTATCGAAAAACGAATTTTTTGTAAAGAACTACTGTATCGTTTGCAGTGGTATTCTTGTGGCAGTAAGTTGATACTTTGATACACTTTTGATATAAAGTTGATGCACTTTGGTCCATTCGATGCGTGATATTCTTATTCCTTCATTGCCTCTTCAGAGGTGTGAGCTAATTATTCATGTTTTGACTTCTCAAACTACAATAATCTAGGATGTTTCATACGGTTGTCTATGCTATGATATGGTCAGTTGGTAACAAGGATAGCAGACTTGGGAAAGTTTTCATATGATTCACCACGAAAGTCACACATTTGCTCTGTAAAAGAAAGGTATTTTGTTGTTTGATTTCAGATTTGATTATTCAATTTGATTATTCAAATTATATACTGGTGAGAATCCTTTTGGGAGGATAACCACTAATTACCTAAAAGTAATATCTCGCTTTGATTGTTACATATGAAATATAAATAATAATTTTAACTTTTATAATATTGTGGCACAAAACTCAAAATGCACAGGTGTGCCACGAAAAAGCTTTTTATTTTACATTTCTGTTCAGGTTGAAAGAGTTGATATGCTGAGGAGTGTTAGAATGGAGATTATGATAAGAACATCACAAAGATGTATTGCACAACATTCACAGCTTCATAAAGGTCTAAATAACTGCTTTTTACTTGTAATTCTGTTTTCTTAATTATCTGTGAATACATTTGGACTTTAGATTCTAAAAAATTCGTATTTAACTGCTGCTCAATCAAAATCCTTCAGGGACCAGGAACTTTAGACACAAAGTGACATATACACGCTTTGCAACTTCGAAGGAGTAGACAAGAATTTCAGCAGCAGAAAAAAGGCGGAATATCCTGTCAAGCTTCAATTCGGATTGAAAGATGAAATCAACTAAGGTTTGTCATTAAAATAATTATGTTAGAACATATGGTTTGGCCATTATATGGTTAGAACTATGGGTGAAGCCAAGGGGTATTATTGGGAATGCCTTAATGGGCATTGGAAATCATCTGTGAAAAAGGTCCTCATAATTACCCAAAATTATGCTGCAGTTTGATGCATGTTGCGACCACTGCACTTAAAATCAAAATGACTCGGTTTCTGATTGAAGTTAGGGGCTTAAATTGAGTAGTAAAATGATCATATTAAGTGGGGTAAAGCCTAGTTTAAACTTCCTCAGGCATCATGCTGGGCTGTCGATTTAATAGACCAAAACCTACTTAAATTATGCTCTAGCCTGTGGTGATAATAGAGAAAATGAAAATAACTCTACTGCTGATTATAGTTAGGAATATAATCTAAACTTGGGTAACTGGATGTTCAAAATTCAGATTATTAGTGGGGTAGAGCTTGGTTTTTAAGTCCTCAGGCTTCTGGTTGTTGAGTTAATTAGCCAAACCCCATTTTTACGCTCTTAGCTGTTCAATTTACCAGTGACTTTACTTTATACAATATGTTTCTTTTCAGATCAATCATTAGCTTAATTAGTCAAACGTGAGCATTGAAATGTTTAGAATCATTGCTGCTAAGGAAAATTATTGTTCCTAGTCAAGGGTATGACCGGTCAAAGGTCATCGCTCATTACATGTAATTGTATTGCGCAAGCGGTTTTCAATAGCGCGCCTTGAAAACTAAAATTCCATCTTCTCCTACATTTTTGAGCAATCACCTTGAAACTTTCAGGATATGTTCTAAGGACCATTTAGAAAAATTATGTCTCATCAAAATTTTAAAATAGGCCTTTTTTTGATTATTTTATTTGAAAAGCTGATAACTTTATGGGGCAACTTTGGCTAGGAACAATATTTTCCATGGGAGCTCCTGATAGATATCATTCTATCAGGAACAGCTATAAAATCAATATTGAGAGACATTGCATACAGCTATCTGAAACACAGGGGCCGGGGTGAAACTGTTAGCTAACTGTAACATAGATGCCGGGGTGTAACTGTCATGGGCGTGTGCAGCAGCCAACCTTGAAACCCTTGAGAACCTTGATTTCTGATATTTTGAATCAAAAACCTTGCAAACCTTGGATTTTCACAAAAACGCTTGAAAACCTTGAATTTCAACTATAAATTTCGCCTCCGGCAGTTTTCTTGCTTAAAATCATATCCTTTGCCCCACCAGTCCCCTCATTTATGTTTTGAGCAATCCTAACCTAGTCCAGGTTATATTATTTCATTCATTAGTTTTGAGAAAATAGATAAAATTAACAAGTTTTCGTAGTGCAAACATACATATTCGTCTTAAAAAACCTTGAAAACCTTGAAAATGGCTATCTGAAAACCTTGAATTAAGGGTTTGAAAACCAAGAAAACCACCTTTAAAACCTAGAATTTTAGGGAATTTGAGGGTGGGAGGCCTGGTTCGCAGGCGGGTGGCGATGTAGGCGATCGCCCCCCGCGCCGGCCCCCGCCCCTGGCTCTTTTTGAAATGCTGACCCAGAATTTTTTTTAATTGCCTTCTACAGAGCAACAAAATAATTTTATAAACAATTTTATAAACATTTTCACAAACATTTGCGTTAATGACATGATGCAAAAGTTTTATTTTTAAACGAATATAGTAGGTTCGAATTAATTAGGCCTTGTGCATATATAATTTCCATGGGTTGGCTGCTCCTAAATCTAGGAAGCCAATCCTCATAGTTGAGTGGGTATGATGAGGCTCAAAAGAGATTTGAGATAGGCAGATTAATATAATTGGAAAGCACTGAGGATCAGCCTCAGTCTTAATCAGAAGGGTCAAAAAACATCATTATTTCAGAATCATGGGACATCACGATCCAGTACCAAAAAGCGTACGCTAAGCCATACGGCATCTTTTCAGACTGGAGATATCCAGAATAACTTAAAACTCGTGCTATCTTTAATTTTAATTTGTCCAATGTTTTAAATTCAAAATATTACTAATAACAAATTGTCTAATCAACTGCTGCTTTGAACCTTCTGTATTGATATCCTATTGGTTTAGTATATAATCCAGTCGAACAATTTTCCGGGGGCTGCTCGCAACGGTAACCTCAGAGCCGGCGCTTTGCCCTATCAAAAATCCTGCGCACACCTGATAACTGTTAGCTTGGTATAACACAGGGGGCAGGATGTAACTGTTAGCTTAGTGTTACAAAGGGGGCGGGGTGTTACTGTTAGCTTATTGTAACACAGGGGCCGGGGTGTAACTGTTAGTTTAGTGTAATACAGATTACGGGGGCTAGGGTGTAACTGTTAGCTTAGTGTAACAGGAGCAGGGTGTGACTGTTAGTTTAGTAAAATACAGCTCAGGATGAGAGGGGTGTAACTTTGACATTTTGCCCTACCCAACTCATGTTGTAATTCCTTCAACTATGTTGTTATTCGTTCAGCTTTAATAGGGTCATCATATTGTTTGACTACCCCACAGAGAAGAGATCTTTATGTCATTCCTTGGATGTCATTTTATTTGGATGTGTGCTTAAGAGGTTTATTTACATTTGTATACCTATGGAACTGTATTGTAACCATTCTGGAGACGGGCATGGGCACGAGCATGTTACTGTTAACGAGAGTCAAAAATACCGGCAGGGCACTCAATTGTATTCCGTAAGTGTTCTGGGCGTGAAACATTGTTCCCAGGAGAAGGAATCTGTTGCTCCAAGTTATCCACAGGATAAGGAAACGGTTTACTGAATTATTTAATGCTTAACTGTTTTGAAGAGAACTGGTGCACTACTGTTCTCGGGAGAAGGAAACCGTTGGTCTACTATTTTGAAGAGAACTGGTGCACTACTGTTCATGTTCTCGGGAGAAGGAAACCGTTGGTCTATTGTTTTGAGGAGAAATGGTCATGGTGCACTACTTTTCTTAGGGAGAAGAAAACTGGTGCTTTACTATTTTCAAAAGAAAGGAAGTGGTACTTTTATTTGTCAAGATTACTGGTAAAACAATGTTTAAAGTCGACAATTAGTTTTTTATGAAATTTGGATAACATTTTGGCTTTAGCCTTCAGCAGAAAAATGATCGGTTTTGTCTAGATAAAACCTAAATCTTTATCTGTTTATCTAGATAAAAGATTTCATACCGATAATGGATAGCGATAGCCTATGAACGCCTTCGAAATCCCCCAGAATGAAATCCCCCAAAGTACCCAAAAATACCCCTTGGCTTCCCCTTTAAATATTCTATCCGATTTAAAAACATTTACTGTGGCGGAAAAAGTTTCAGCTACGAACCAGACTTTTTTATTCATTGACTGCAGTTAAATACAATCTACAATACAATGCACATTTTCATTGTGTTAATGATTCAGCAATTACTTTTACTAAATCATATCTTTATAAAGAGCCGTACTTATTATAAATTTGTAATCCGAATTCCCTTCCTCAGCGTTCACAAATGTGGTCAATTTGACACGAACCGCTGTGTCGACAAGATAAATCCACGCAGCAAAGACACTGGACAGTGGACAGCGACACAACTGGTTTGTCAATATTACTTACATTTGCTTCCTCTTGGCTCTTGCCCTCCATATTTGATTGGTCGCTGGATCAACCTCAGTGTCCACCTTGTCTTGATATAAAACAATCGCGGATAGAACAGAATCAGATAAACCACAATTAATCCACCTTTTTATCCAGGTTACGAAGTTACAAAGAGTGGCAGCCAAGAAACGTGATTATCTTCTGAACAAATGGTCGCCGACGACAGCTGACATTGTGTTATTAGGATAAAAGGACTATTATTTAAAAACAAAAAATGAGTTACATTATATTGGATATTTTGAATATCAGTCAATTTTTAAGAGCCAATTACAAGACTGGCGATATCTGCAGAACGTATAATATTTAAAGTTTGACATTTTGAGATTCGGAACTTCTGTGTACTTCTTTATAAATAACATTCACTTTGAAAATTGAAATATAAAAGCGTTTTCGTTAAAGCATTACAAAATATCAAAAGACTGAAAATTAGCTTCGCAACGAGCAAGAATGTCGTATTATTATCATCGGCCTCGGATTGGTTTTTACACTATATCCTCAAATCATGGCATATAATACAGAAACTGATTATGACAGCATAGTTGGTTGTCGGATTGGTTGAAACTTAAATGCCCTCATATTATTTCATATAATTTGATTGTTATTTTAATTTGTATTCCATCATTTGGGTTACTGTATCGGAAGTAATGAATAGATGGAAAGTGGCTTGTATCTGATTTACAAAAAGAAGTATAATTCATGCAGTCAGGTGTAACTACCAGATTAATGAGTTAAACTTGCTCCGGTAGTCAGTGCTTTCAAATTAGGACTTCAATGCGTTGTGTACTTTTAGTTGGTTTGGACTCGGAAATGAAACTCGGGAAATTTAGGAAACAATGGTAAAACGAAACTAGCGGTGTTGGTTGACTATTTAAATATAACTTTAACGATTCGACAAAAAGAGACAGTTTTCTCAAGGCGCCGGGCGTTTTTATAGTCCCCTTAATTGTCGGCACTCCCTAGGCGTGTCGGCCGATGAGCTTTCTCGTGTAAACAAACGTGACGCATTTCCGGTGGTGGTTTTAGCTAGATGGTGTAGTCACTGATCTAGCCCTTCAGGAATCACTATTTGATATCCATGGTTACTCATAGATGATCTTAGTTCATTTAATGAAACCATAGTGTGACGTCCTTCTGGCAGTAATTATCAAACCACAACTCCCTACCGAAAACCACCGAACGTATAATTATGGAGTAAAGTCAGAACTCTAGAGCTTGCGGTGATGCTCATCGATTAATTGCAAACGAAATTACTAATTTAGACCGTGGCCTTCTAGGTCAATAGTAATATCCGGTCGTAATGATTATTGGACGCAGACTGTCTAATTTATGGTTGCCAGGCAGGTGCAAACAATAACAGTAGTTGATATGATGGGACTATAATTGTAGGGTTGGGGCCCTACAAACTCCACCCTCCTTTAGAAAACTGTTGTGATTAAATATACGTTTTTAAAATACTGATCTTTTCCAGTTTGAATTACAACTAATACATAAAATAATGCAATTTTTCTCGGTCTTTTGAAAATAAAATCTCGTACTAAAATTTAAAAATGATGCTGTTGATTTGATTGTGGGAGTAATTTACTCTACAATCTATAGTAATTAGTTTCAAAAATACACATAACATTTAAATAACATACACATTTATTTTTTTAAACTTTAATCCTTTTATCACAATATTTATAATACACTCTGTTATATGATTGTATATTACTTTCATAATATAGTATAATGTTTCATATACATTTCACACTTACACATAATCTATATTTTTTTTTATAACTCATTAAATGATGTTTTCTTTAGACATATATTTTTATTTGGTATTTACGAAAATAATAACCTACGTTTACATAATAATCTGTTTTCACACAAATTTTAATTTCCCTAAAATTTAAATATACACACCTTAAAAAACGAATTTAGATTACACTATATTTACTTAATTATTTACATAATACTATAATATCCTACGTTTATGTAATAATCTGCTAATTTTACATAAACTAAATTGCACTAAAATTATTATACTTATTAAAATCACTTTAACTAATTTACATTAAACTTAGAATAATATGAACAAATTAGTTTGTATAACTGTAATGACATCTTACATCATATGGTCGGACGAGCTATTGTTTGTAAAAGTCCTCATCTTCCTGGTCATTGTCACACCGTGAGGGGTGACTGTTGTTCTTTGGGTCGTGAATCCGCAAAACTGACAACAGGAGAGTGAGGTGACAATCCAGCTTTTTGAGAAGTTGATACCGTCTGTGTCGTCATCTTTTGGAGAGTACATAGTCACGTTTTACCGCGACGTCGCTCGCATGTGTACAAAGTACACGGACTCTAAGGTCTTTATTTGCTACAGGTACCAAATTGTTATGCCATGACTACAGTGTGATCGTGAATGATGTATGACTGAGCAAATGAGTGCAGTTTAAACTCGTTTGCATTTGGAACCTGAGCTCTGACTGACATAAACTTCTTCTTCTGTTCATTTAATGGGGAAACTGGTTGTCTTATAATATTCCAATAGCATCGTGATGGACCTTCATGGAGCCAAGAGAATGCTTCTAATAATTTGTAAGATGAACGTTTCATCTTCCTATGCTCCTGAATTAACTTCGTATTGTCTACAAACTTCAGTATCTTCTCTTTTCAATGATATGTACTTTTGACTGGGTTATGGTATGACTTCTCACAGAAACCTACATGAACCTACATGATAAGTTTGCAATGACATCCACTTGATTGGACAATTGAACTATAAATCCAATATTGGTACAATCTGCACAAATTTCGGTGTGCGATTTCACAGCTATCATTATGATCAGGTTACTTCAATAATGTTAAATCTTTCAATGATTGTTCGTTTCATCAATCATGGCAGTGTAACAATCCATTGCCATGATAATAATCATGTTTGAGACGGTCCCGTAGGACAATGTGGTCTATCTTCGTTGGAATCATCAACGTAACAGCCTCTTCATCAGGCTCATGTGTGGGGTCTTAAATTAAATTGGTCGACCGCCGACCCGCATTTGTTATTGCGATGTGATAATGTGGCAACTTCGGCTCCTGGGTAGTTGCTGTACCCAACTCTGCTTTGCGCATGTCCGAAACATTATCTAGTAGATGCATCTACTGGTCGGCCCAGCTTAATGTAGCTGAAATATTTAATTCGGCATACTGCAGTACCCATTTTTCCTTCTTTAGACCTGATCAGGTGTGATTTTACCCTAGATTCATTAAGCACATAATGATAGCCTAGCACACGTACCCTTAGTTCTAAATTCTCTGATTTATATCAGTCTGTTTCTCCAATTGCCATTACTTTCGGGGAGTTTGATTGCTCAGATCAGAACTCCTAGCTGGCTCCGACTTAGCCCGACTTTTACTTTTAACTGATTTGCTGATCCGCTTTAGAATATCAGATGAGCTCCATGGCCCGTTTTTAAAAAATTGTAACGTCCACAATAAAATGAACACTAACTGGCACAACTATCTCAGCTCTCACAGAGTTGGAACTAACGCATTATCTGCTGTCGTGATTCCATGAATAATCTTTCAGGAACGGCCAATGCTCCGGATGTTCCTGTGAGCCTGTTGTCTGTTTTGGCCAAACTCATGCAAACTATCTAGGGTATTGCGGGATCCGGGCAATTTACCATTATAAGATTATATGCTCTTTCTCCTCGACTAATGAGATCGAATATGGAGAACGAAAGCAAAGTTGCAATGATGTTAACCAATTATTAACCACAAGCACACATGGAGCTCTGACAGTGACGGGCAATTAGTTGTTCCAGACTGTGCGGAAGTTCTGTTGTTTTGTAAAGGAGTTGTGCCATAAGTTTTGTAACATGGTGATATCAAGAATTACATTGGAGCACATTGGCATCTTGGTGACGTGGCAACTTACGTATATAGCTTCAAAGTTCAAGATATCATAATATGGCAAGCGTCTAGTAAAATATGTGTACTTTCGCTTTCCACTAGCGAGTACACGTTGTGGTTCAATGGCAACACAACCTGCACGTATACTTTCGCGTGCTGTGGTTGACCGGTGTGAACCTGTTTTCACATCATGATTTTCCTTGGAGGTGCTTAGTAGTTTTCCAACCTGGCCTCTTCTTCAATAAACTCTTCATCGTCAGTCAGAAAAACCTGCCTTTCATCAAAGTATGGTGAGTAATTCATGGCATGCTCTTCCACTTCGTCTAGAACTGTACTAACAGGTTCCGGAGGTTGGTTAAATCTTACACGCTTTCCTCTATCGATGGCCTGACTTCTTGACACAGCACAAGACGTGTGTCCAGTATCTTCTGATGGACTCCGATTACAAATAACTGATTCTTCGTCAAATTCGTTGGAGCGTGGTTGGTTGTAATAACGATCCTGTTCCTTGTCGTCTCTCTCTTTCTTAAAACAGTTTTTTATCGTGTGGTTGTTGCCCTGACAATAAGTGCAACCTTCTATTGGGAATCTGCAGTCCTTTATCAGATGACCAGGCATACCACAATTGTGACACTTCCGATGGTCCGGTTCCGGCCAGTCTTTCTTAACCCGGCCTACTTCACGACAAGCCCAGCACTTATTTTGAAATGGCTGAAAATGAGGGGTTTCCTTCTCCTCGATTGTTAAGAGTCCCGCTGCATCATTTAATGAATCTAAGTTGGTTACTTTCGCTTTGATCTTTCCTAGGATTTTTTCTAGTTTAGAGCTCTCCAGCAAAGCTGTGTCATATGTGAGCTTGCTTTTCTGCAACAGGCAAAACATCATTTGTTGGGACTTAAGACCGTTTATAAAAGCGTCCTTCATCAACTTATCCGTAGTTTCACCAGCCATGAACTTGCAAGCCGATATCATTTGTGCTGTTTTCTCCAGCCGGTCTGCAAAGTCCTGAGTCGTCTCCGACCCA